GGAATGCCTGGGTTTGCCCCTGGCAACCTCAGCACCTGTTGGGGGTCTCACCATCACAAGCATCTATCACTAAAATGCCTTTTAAAGTGCAAGGAGTAGATGCCACTTAAAGCATTACCCCTAATCAGACCACATGATATCCAGGCTCCTTCCATATATTTTTAAGGAAAGAAACAGTCAACCCCCAAAAAGGGTCTCTGAACCCAGTCACCAAGTAGAATCACTGGTCTCTTCCTCTAAAAAGTTTTGGAAGCAATAGGTGGTGCTCTCTTAGTGCTGGTTTGTTAGGCTTGTGCAGGGTTTTGTAAAAATGAGTGAGGAGCTGAACAGTCTCTCAGAGAATCTGCTTTAGGAAAATGAAGATCTCTTCATATTTTTTTCTGACAAAGCTTCTCCTACTGTGAGAGCATATCAGCAAGTGGCACAACTGCTGACGAGTAACGTAAGGATTGTCTGCATTTGAAGAGTCCCTGCCATAATAGGTAGGCCAGCATCAGGGTTGCCATATTTTGAAAGTGGAAATTTGTCAAACCTCAAACCATTGTGATATAGCACTGAGCAGATGTTCTACAGTTATCAAAGATATCAGGAGACAATTTACCGAGCATTACCCATAATTAGGGACCTACCAAATTTGCAATTTTACAGATTTCACAGATTCTGCAAAATCTGCCATTACCCGTGAAAACTGGGTAATGCTCACAAAATCCGTTGGAGGGGGGAGTCTTACCCAGTGCTGTGGCAGCTCTCTGGGGTGGGGAAGGGGGAAGTGCCCACACAAAATGCTGTGGGCAAGATGACTGCAACCCCCGCCCCTCACTGCTGATTGACTGGGAGGGCTACTGTCATGTGGCCTCGCACCTCTCCATCAATTGGCAGCAAGAGTGGAGCTGCATAATGGGCAGCTCTAATAGCCAATCAGTGGTAAGGGACAGGGCCATTAGGGACCCTCAACCAATCAGAGGTGTGGGAGGGTCCACCATGCTCCATCTCCAAAACTGGGGGGCAGCCCCATGATTTAGGTAGGTCCCTACCCATAACAACATAAACAGAATGCTTAATGCATGTATCTTATTACTAGGAACAGCAAGAAGTCACTAGGTCTAGTGACAAAAATCACTAAGTCAGCAACACTAACTGGTATTAGTTAGTGGGTCAGCAAGAGCCCCCTTGTGGTGAGGCAATCCATGCAACAGATGAAATTTCTCAACCAGCACAGCTTCCTCACCTCCCCAAAACAAAGCTAAAAAAAGTAATCTTTAACTGATAAAGCCAGCCCCTGCCCAGAATTGTCTTGAAGTGTGATTTTATATATATATATGAAAAACAGCAGTCTAGCTAAACTTGTAGCATAGGCATGGTCACACTCAGAGCCCACCTTAAATTTTCACATCCTAATTTCTAACCGTACTTCTAAATTCATATCTAGACAACAGAATTTTTCTTCTTCAAAGGTGGTGAGCTTCTGAGTGCTTGGCACATATAATTATCAAGCCAGAAATACGCTGAGAAGCAGAACTTTAGGTTTCAAAATATTGTCCATGATGTTGAAGAGGTATCAAATTTGATATTCTTCCTTAGGGAAGATGTTGATTGCAAAAATTATTGTAGATTGTTTTAGAAAAAATTTAAAGTTCTGCCTGATCACTAGGAAAAAGGATTTTCTTGTCTTTATCCAACTTCAAAGAGCAACCAAAGAATAATCCACACAGAGCATGAGTGGCTGGGTATTCAGTTTATCCAAAATACAAATTTTTCATATATGGACTTCACACCCTCTCTCAATTTTGTTCCCCAGATAGGAAATGTAATTAGCTTGAGATTTCATTGGATATCAGATTCTCTTTTTCATCTGTCTCCTCCATGTAATAACGTTCCTTTATTTTTGTTAAACTGTAGGTACAAAACTGCTTTCACTCCAGTTGCCTTTACTACCCTCAACATTCTGTGGTTTTACCAGAATATCATAGAAGTGTCTGTGATAGAAAGACCTACTATGTCAGTCTCTTTGCAACAGCAGGAGACTGAAGCAGTCCATTGTCATAGTCTGAGGGAGCAGTCTCCAAATCTGCCTCACAAATTTAAGGGTGGGAAGAGGGGAGTTCATTTTCCCTTACCAACAGCTAAGAGGCACTAATGGAAAGCTAATTATTTGAATTTTGGTTTCATATCACACATGGGAAGGCTTATGACACCGTGGCCGTGTCTATATGAGATGCAGACTGCGTAGTTGTTACTGCACAGTCATTTCATATTTGCATACACAGTATTAAATGACTGAGCAGTAACCAGAGTTACTGTACAGTAACGTCCCTGAATGGCTTTTTCGCAATGCTGACTGCGTAGTAGCCATTACTACTGCACAGTAGCATCGCATTACTCTTCATGCCACATGACATTACTGCACAGTAGTAATGAGCTACTGCACAGCCAGTGTCTCATGTAGATGTGGCCTGTGGGAAGGATTATCTACAAAAGGAAAGAAAGCTGTTAACATTGTAAACATTCACGTGATCATTTAAAGTGTTTGTTACAATATAATCAAATCCAAACAAATGAGATTGTTATGTATGCAATATCTGATCCACCTCTCTACTATTTGTAAGGATAGTGAAATGGAGGATAATGGAATACAAATTTTATGGATCACTGGTTCAAGTATGGCCCAGGCTAGAAGTATGTGAAAGTTATCCTCAACTGATGACTGTGTGTTTGCTGGAGGTCTCTGTCTGGTTTCAAAACACCTACAATCATATTTCTCAATTAATTGGCGCCCCACTAGGTTCTCTCAACAGAGAGATAAAGGTTTGAATAGGAATGGAGCTTAGAGTCTTCTCCCCCCTCTAAAAGTATTCCCATAAAGATACAAAAAGTGATGAGGAATCACTGGGAAACTTCAGAGCCACTAAATGTGTACCAAAGGTGTTTTATAAATAGGACAGACTGCAGTTTCTAGGCTGCTGATTTGTTACCATTTATGAGTGCTAAAATATCCCTTTAGAATATTAGCTATCTCTAAAGCAATTCTTTCCTGTACTGTGTTGTTGATACATTGCATTTTAATAAGCACCTCAGTAATCTACAGGCATAAGAAAAAAACCACAGATTATTGTGATTTAGGTTTTGACAAATTACACTTCATTTTCTAGAGTCATAGCATTGAATGTTTTGAGGGGTGAGAGGGAAGGAACAAAAAAGACCCAAACCCACACTCACTGTCTTTTATTCCAGATGTGAATAAAGGGCCCAATTCTGCTGTCATAGCTCCTTAGAATCCTATTAAATACAGAGTCCGGTGCAGAATGTGATTCCAGTTTACAACCGTGTTCTGTATAGAGCAGAAAAAAGAAAAAACAGAGGAATGGGAACTTCATGCATTTAACCACCTGCGTATTATCTTTTAAACTTACCCCCCAAAATAGGCAAGGAAAGCTGTTAATTAATGTCTTGTATTTATTGATATTATATATTATTTATACCAAGTTATATCACTATATGAACATTTTTGTAATGTTAGCTTAATCCTGAAATAAGTTCCTAATATGTGGGTTAATGCTGCCAAACAAATGACTGCTCAAATTCCAAGTGGCTTTTTGAGCAAAATGTGTTTGATGCCCCAGGCAAAAATCTCTTACGGGTGATATCTTTTATTGGACCAATATGTAGTTGGCACAGAGTTAGACGAGCTTTTGAGTGAACGACATTCTTCCTCAGCTATTCGTGAGTATTCATGTTTACATATAGTTAACTACAGACAGGCCTTGGGGTTTGGAAATGACTATTTTACATTCTGCTGCTTATTATTTACTGTTCTCCAATAAAAAAAGCTAACTTCCAGTCAGGTAATATTACAGGTCTTAGGCAAACAAGCGCACTGCATAAAGAATGCACTATCATTAACTACCATATTTACTTGAATAGAAGAATATTCTGTTTATAAGAAGAGCCCCCAATACTTCAATTCTATATATGGAAAAATTTTTAATTGTTTATAATTTTGCAGGTCCAGAATCTAATTATTGGAAATTTGCCTTGAACTTGCCCCACTCCAACTGCTACAGCAGGGAAAATAAATTTGGAGTTTCCAGGATCCCCTTTGCTCTCTCCTTCTCCTGGCAGTTCCTTCCCCTGTCTCCTTACTATCAGACCTTGCTCTCCCTGAGCCAAAGAAATGAAAAACAAATTTGAAAACAATAATCATGAAATTAAAAAGGGCTGCGCCAATTATCATACCATACCCATACACTTAATTCATCCAGAATTGGTACGTTACCTTTTAAAAAAAATTGCTGCAAATCTTAACACAGGTTCTCCATAAATACACTTTTAAGCAGCACTTCAGCATCTACTTACATGCAGTGCAAATTATGCATGGTACCAGTCCTAAGCCAAAGGCTAGGTCCCACCAGAGTCAACAGCATTTCAAGCCATGGTGACCCTACTGCTCAGCACTGCTAAGTATGCATGTGTACTCCAGATACTGCACACAAAGTATCCATGTGCTAATTAGCCCCCACTCATGACTGGAACCAGGTGTTCTTTTCACAAGTCCTGGGATGCTCCAAAAATGTATGTTCAGATGAGGTGCAGGGTAATCTGGTCCAGCTCCACCTCATGGAGGGCAGGGGCGTACTAAGCATATGCACCAGGCTGAGAGAAGAGGCAACAGAGGGTTTCTGGTTAAACTGTTTGGGGCCCCATTTGGTGATATTTGCTAGGCATTTAAGGTTGGTGAAGAAACAGGAATCATTGGAAATGGGGAAGTAAGGCACAGCTCAGCTGTGGGAGTGAAGAGGAAGTAAAAATGTTTACAGTGTTGTGGCTCACCATGATTTTGAAAAAAAGTCAGCTATGAGTGAGACTGAGCTTAATAAGCACTACCACATCTTATTACATGATCTACACTAACCTATTTTTGATGTAGGTGTTTGCCCAATGTGGGCTATATGTTTTATAAATTATGCTCAGTGTTGGCTGCACTGAATCAACTTAGTAGTTGGTTTCCATTGCTGAGCACATGCTGTGTTTGGAAGTACTTTAATGATAGACAATGTATTCAGTGATATTTCCTTGTATATGGTTGTAAGTTGCGGCTGTTTTCTTCATGCCAATTGCGGGGTAAAACCCTTATCTTGTATTCAAGTAAATATGGTACTTGATTCTAAAATAAGGTTTTTCTTGCCCCCTCCCCCCCCCCCATTTAACATGGGGGGAAAGCCCTTTGTTTTAGAATTAAGTATGTAGTGGTGGGGTACACCCTCAGGGGCTGGAAGCACCGGGGGCAGACCCGAATGCTCCCAGAGAAGGGAATGGGAACCCCAATGCCACTGCAAACTTACCTAGGAGGCAGACTGGGATGGAGAAAGAGCTGCGCGAGCTGACGTTGCACTGGCTCTTCAAGTGGCTGTTGATTAAGCTGGGGTGTTGGCCAGCTTATTACGTCAGCTGAGGCCACCGCTGTGGGAGATTCAAAAACCGCACTGGAAGCTGGATATGGGGCAGAAGGCAGCTGGTGAGCACAAACAAGCCCTCCAGCTCTGCCCCATGGTGAATGGGCAAGGGCAGCAGTCGGAAGCCACCCAGAACATTGCAGACTTTTTCTGAGGAAGGAATGGAGAGACATTACCAGCTACCTGTTGATTAGCTCCAAAAAGCAACAGGTCTGCCTTTGTCCCATCTCCCATAGCACGGACTGTAGTCAGCATGTGGTATGCTAGCTAATGCTGAGAGGTGTCTGTGTAAGGCAGAGGGGAGGGAGGAATCCCTGCTTGAGCAGGGGTTGGTGAGGAGTGGGGGGGACCAGGAGGAAGCCAGACAGATCCCGCTGTACCTGCAGTTTCTGCCGGAGTTACAGCCAGGAAGCAGAGGGGAGGGACCAGCCCTGCTGGAGCAGAGAGCAGAGCCCTGCCCAGAGTTGCAAAGCATCTGCGATGCTGGAGGATTCTGATTTAACTTAAACCAGGAAGGGGTCTGGGACAGATGTTGCATAAACTGGTTCAACACAAACCAGTTAAGTCTTATACTACATTCAACCAGGTTTACCTCAAACCGGTTTCAGCTATTTTCAAACTGGTTTATGTGTACTGAACATCTGTCCTGTTACAGGTTTAAACCAGTTTCTGATCACTTAAAACAGTTTATGTATAATGTCTGTCCCTACCCCCTGGTCTGGAGAAGCTAGGCCTATATATTTTTTAATATTCAGTTGATTTCTCATAAAACAGACATCAAATTCTTTCCACAAAATGTGACCCTGAAACATAATTTGACTGTTTTTGTTTCTAATGAAAACACAAACTGCTTTGTTAATCTCTAAGGCTGTCATTCTGATCCAAAGCAAAAACTGATGGCAATAACCACTTATGTCAGCTTTTATAGTCCATCTGATTGGTATAATATTAAATTAAATCTAAACTTAATCTTCAGGGTTTTACTGCATATGAGAAAGCAAATTAGTAGTTGTAGACATTGTATTCATTTAACAACTAATGCAAGAAACCCTTCCAAAATAATACTTGTGAGGTTGGTGTCTCAACCTCAGTACAAAACAAATACACAATACCTTTTCACCATGATTATGGAACAAAGTAAATTAAAAGGGGTTTGTGAGGAAGGCAGGTAGAATCAATTGTGCTGCCCATTAAGTCATTTTTTCTTAGCAACTGAACAAAACGTGAGTGGCCAAACACACTGAAACAGCTTTAGAAAATAAGTTTTGGTGTACTGTAAATCAGCTGAAAACTAAAACTTACAGTGGGACAGAGACTGGTTGAGTGGGGTAGGAAGCTAAGCATGTACGACTGTGATTCTAAATATTTATAGAAACAAGTATTAAACATTATTATAGGAAACAACTGCTGCTAACCTATGGTCCAAGTCACTCCTAAACTCTTCTTTCATATAATCTTTTGTTTTAGTTTATGCAGGAAAAATATCCTCCAGGCTTCAGAGCAGGTGTGAAACTATTCCATAGTTGTATCCCAGTGCCACAACAGCTTCTACAACAGCAGTCTACCCATTGTCATTCCACACTCCAATGTTAGGATTTATGCACTGATGTTTGTCCTGTTGCTTTGAAATATCAGCAATATAGACATCCTCCACTCCTGCTGACACTCAAAATTCTGATCACGAGTTTCCACTTCCTTTGATATAAAATGTACAACTCCAAGAGGTAAGTGATTACATGAAAATTAGTTTGTAAATGAAAACTCTACTGCTTGTGCTTGCAAATAAAATCTTGAGGGTTTTCCTAAGTTCACTCTAAAGGATCAAAAACCAGAAGGAAAGAGAGACAAGACAAAATGTATGCATGATTTAAACAGGCTAAAGACAAATTTGACATAGTTGGGGTTAGCATGGTCTATGGTCTTCCCTTTAAGTGTTTACAATTGAATTTTCCCAGAGTTAAATGTCTAAGTTTCTTTATTCACTATGTGTCTGGAAAACAAGGGGCAATCATTTTGCCTTATCTCTGGCTGCAATCCAGTAAGTCTAGAGAAAAATGGTTGGTATCCTAGTTTTTTCCTTCCTCATCTTTTTTTCTGTTTAAATCTTTAATGTTGCATTACTTAAAAAAAAAAACAACAAACACCTTACCCAGGGATCTTGCACAGGTGCTCCTGGGATAGATCCAGTTAGCAGCAAACTAGAGTTCCACTTCTCTTCTAAGGCAGCTACCATCACTTTGCAAATTATAATTTTGCATTTATGGTGAGAGAAGAATTTAGCTCAGTCTTAAACTTAAGACAAGACATTACTCAGAACCACATCACTGACCAAAAAAAAAAAAAAAAAAATAGGAACCATCTTACATTAATAATGGTACAGCTACAACTTTACCATGATTAAGGTTGAATTAGAGTTCAGTTTTAACAGGTGTTTTAAGCCTTATTTTGCTCAAAACAAAACATTTTTGGAAGAAATATTCAGAATATATATTTTGGTGCCATTTCAATCTTACATGGGAGCTTTATAGAAATTGAACTAATACAGAAAGTAAGAAACATAAGAGTTAAGGTGATTTTTTCTATCCATTTTTTCCTCACGTTCTTTGTAAACCTCCTGCAATCAGTCTTGAATGCTGGGGGATCCATACCTTGACCACAATGTTGTTCTTTGTAGGCTGATTCCTAGAATATTAGCCATATCACAAATGTTTATTTATGGAGTATTTTGAAGTTTTCTAACCATAAAAGAAAACATACAAAGCAAACACAACAAGCATTTGCTGGACAGTAAACATGCTGTGATCTGAATAGCATCTATCACCTCCATGAGAAGGGCAACATTTTAAACAGTGACCTCTACAGCAAGTTCATAGAATGTGCAACATTTGAAAGAATTAATGATGTAATAGATATTAAAAGAATATAAAATCTTATGAGGTTATTGTTAATGCTTTTTTTTAGTGCAGTTTGGATGACAACAGGATTCCTATGACTTCTGGGCATTTGTTGGAGATGGAAGTAAAAGCCTTAAGGAGCATATTAGTAGATGCAGTGTAGCAATTATGAAAGTGAAAACAAGTGTACCAGTCTGCTTTATGTAATTTCTTTTAAAGTTTTAATGTATGAGATCCAGCCTACCTTAACCTTGAATGACACTAAGCACTGTTTTTGTATGCTAATAGACATCTCACTATATCTAAGTTTCTTCATTTTGAAGATAGGTTTCAGCTTTTTGAGTCTTCCTCCTTTCCTTCTACTGTGCTTTTGCTTAACAAATAGAATCCTCACTGATCTCCCCTCCCCCCACCACAACCTGGCTAGAATTTGCCATTATGTTGTACACGAAGCAAGCTAGCTAATCTGGCTTTATATTTTAGTCATATAAAGCTGCAGCTGTTAATCTCCAAAGACATTCTTTTTTAGTTTTAAAATAAGCAGCAAGTCCTTGGACCATGGAAGTAAGCTCACACTAAGAGACAAATATTGTTAGTCAACAGTTTAGTCCCCAGTGGAAAAATCTTAAATACCAGCACATACCAGCTTTGTGGACACCTGCACTACAAAAATGTCTCATTGCTCTAGTCTGTCATTATTCCCTGAACTAGTATAAGGTGCTTATATTAAAATCTTAGAAGAAGGATTTCTCTAGGATTTTCAATGAGAAAGTACAGAATTTTGGGTCTCCTCTACTAACTCAGTTTTTTCCTTTTCCCCAAATTACACAGCATGGATGCTGTGCTACATTACCAGTGGAGTTTTTAGGAGCAAAGCCTCAACACTTTAGTCAGCAGAAAAGTTTAGGCATGCACATATTCTAGTGAGCTAAAAGAGAAACAAATTCCTGAAGAACAGCTGTCACACTGTCCAGTATATGTTGAGTTTTTACCTGGTGGTAATGAAAGCTGAATCACAGTACTGTAATATAGTTGTGGCCCATTGAGAGGGAGAGTGATCACACTTTAGTTTTCCCTTGTAGGAAAACTACATGCAGGCATATGAGTTAGAAGGCAGGACTGGGACCAAGTATAGAGCTGCTCTACACTTTGTCCCAGTCCTGCCTTCTAACTCATAGTTTTTTTTGTTCATCTCTCTGATTGCCAAAGTGGTATTGCATTCCCCGCTCTGAGTATGGTCATGAGCAAGCATTGGGGTTTAAATACAAAAACAGATGGAGAGCTTCTCTAGTCTCTCATGGTTCTGACTGCCAAAACAATTGTCACCTGCCACATTATTTTTCAATGCCTCTAAAACCAACAGAAAAGAAATTAATTTTTACTCCAGGAATCAGCATCATTTTTTGGCCAAAGTGCCAAAGACACCCCAAGCTCAACCCACACCTGGACTTTGTGCTGTTGGCTGCATGCATGCTTCATGGCAGATGCCTGGGAAAGGGCCTGGGGCAGGGCAACCCCAGCCCCTGTCCTGCTGTCCACCCCAAGGCACGCATGCAGCCACTGCTGCCACAGAGCCCAGCTGGGTTACTGGTAGCAGGTGCACATGCACCTCCAGGTGGTTGGCAGGAGAAGACATGGGGTTGTGCTGCCCCAGGCCCCTTCCCAGCCAAGCGCCCAAAGGTGTGCATGCAGTTGTCACCAGCACAGAGCCCAGTGCAGCTGTTTGTAGCCTCCTGGCTGCCTGCCACAGCTGGTCTGTGCTCCGAGCAGCTACAGCCTGCCATGGAGCCCAGGCTGCTTGCAGCAGAGCTTGCAACCATCCTGTCACCTGCTACAAGCAGCCTGAGCTTTGAGGCCAGCAGCAGCTGCCCAGAGCCCAGGCTGGCGGTGGCATAATAAGCAATATGGCCTCATGTGCCATGCTCAGTCATGCATGCTGAGGGTTGCAACTTCCAAGGGAAGTGGTGCTGGCTCCCACCCTGGGGGTCTTTAAGAGGAAGCTTGACGTCTACCTGGCTGGGGTCATTTGAGCCCAGTTCTCTCTCCTGCCCAGGGCAGGGGATTGGACTTGATGATCTGCAAGGTCCCTTCCAACCCTACATCTGTGAATCTATGAATCCAGGAAATGAGAGGCAAGGATTTTTGTGATATCTTTTATTAAACCAACTGCATAACTGGCATGAACTTAGACAAGTTTTCAAATGCGGAACCAGAAGAATGCTTGTCCAAATCTATTCTAGCCCAGCTCAACAAAACCCTGGCTGGAAAGATCTAGTTGGGGATGGTTCTGCTTTAAGCAGAGGGCTGAACTAGATGAGTTCCTGAGGTCTCTTCTAGCCCTAATTTTCTATGATTCTATCGCAACCAATCATTTATTTATTAGCTTTAAATAAATAATTGTATTGCATCTGAGGGCATAGACTTGCAGGCTGCATCCACACAAGCACGTACGTGCCTGCTGTGGTGTCTCAGAGCAGTTTGAGGTGCTGTGGGAGGGAGGCCACAAATGAAAAAATGTTCCTTGTGAGGCAAATATGCAACACGGACTCTAAGTTTGATACCAGGAAATCCCAGTATCAAAAGAAAACACAGAAGAAAAAAAGCAGCGCAGAATGGGCTCCTGGAGCATGTCCCAAAGCAACTAGAGGCTGAGTCCTCCAAGAAGATGCTCTAGCACCTGACCAGAGTATCTCTATGATTGCTGCATGACCCTCCTGCTCCAGCATGCTGCCTCAGTGTGCTGGAGGAAATAGAAGTGGGGCAAGGCTGGCAGCAGTGGCCTGGACCCAGGCTTTGTACCCAGTAAGCAGGGATGTGGGGGAATTGTGTGGGTAGGGGGACTGTGTGTGTGTGTGGGGGGTGGAAACTATGTGGAAGGGGTGGGTCATCCCCCCCATGGTGCACAGCCCCCCTCCCTCCCACAGCAGCAGCCAGCAGCAGGCCCTCACATCACTCATGGCACACTGCAGGTAGAGTCCTCCAGCAGCACACAGCACCTTCTGAGACCCAGGGACTATACGTGGTACACAAAGCAATCCCAGCCCACTAGCACGTACCTTTAGACAGGACCAAGCCAGCTTCTGCCACCAGCCAGGGCTCCTGGCACTGCAGGCAGGAGCTGCACACCATTGAGCCAGGCCAGGGCCACGAGGAAGTTGACCAGGACATCCCGGGACTTGGTGGGGCCATGGATAGGGTGACCAAAAACAAAAAGGTGGGGGGTGAAATTCAACCAGAACCTTGGGAGGAGGTTCTGGAGGTGGAGGTGGAGGGGCTGCAGCCTGGCGCACTCAAGGGTCATGTGCACCAGGGTCTCCTTCTGCCCGCAGAAGGGGCAGGAGACTGGGGTGTCTGTGAAGCTCACCACATACACACCTGTGGCAACAGCTCCATGGAGGAGCTGCCCGCTGAGGTCCCCAGTGGCTCGCGGGATGAGGATGGAGTACAGACTCAGCCACTGGGGTGCCCCAGCCATGCCCTTACCGAGCAGGTCCCACCACTTGGTGTCTGGGCAGGCTGCAAGGGCAGGATGATGGATTGGGAGGAGCTGAGCAGGGTCAGTTTGCCCCAAGTGGCACAATTTGCCCCA